CGGCGAGGCCGTCAGAGGCGGCGGGCCGCTGGGTGCAGCGGCGGGCCGGCAGGGGAGGCGGCGGAGCCGAGTCAGGGGAGGCGGCAGGGCCGCGTCAGGGGAGGCGGCGGAGCCGCGTCAGGGGAGGCGGCGGTGCCGCGTCAGGGGAGGCGGCGGAGCCGCGTCCGGGGAGGCGGCGGGGCCGCGTCAGGGAAGGCGGCGGGGCCGCGTCAAACAGGCGGCGGGGCCGCGTCAGGGGAGGCGGCGGAGCCGCGTCAGGGGAGGCGGCGGGGCCGCGTCAGGGGAGGCGGCGAGGCCGCGTCAAACAGGCGGCGGGGCCGCGATCAGGAGAGGTGGCGGGGCCGCGTCTGAGGGACAGCGGGGCCGCGAGGGAAAAGGCGACCCGAGGGGTCGCTAAAAAAAAAGGGCGCGCCTCGGGGCGCGCTTCGGTGGGCCCTAAAAAAAACGGTCCTAAGGTAGGACCCGCTCTATACCATGTGAAATAAGGAAAACAGGAATGAAATGACTATGGAAGATTGGGTACAAATACAACCCTAGAAACCCTGTACCCCATATGTGCTACCCCACTATAGCCTACAGAAACTATGTCATATAAATCTGACACAACCTTTTTTGTTGCAATCTTTCTCCTCTCGATACTCTCGTCAACCCCCTTCCTAGCACCTAAGGTTTCCAGGCCTCCTAGGTTCTAGAACTGTTTTAACATGTTATCAGAGTGGTTCCTATCCTAGGACCTGATTTTTTTTTTCCCATGGGCCCACCGCATATCGCTCCTGCCATGGCTCTCGTCGCGGCCCCAGCTGTGCCCGTTCAGCCGCTCGTCGTGAAGGTTGCGAAGTCGAGCGTGGCGAGCTTGGTGCTGTTTGTCGCGGCCCCAGTCGGCGGCCCCGTCGCCTACCCATCGCGCCCTCCTGCAACCTCGTCACGCCCTGTCGCGGCCCCGAGCGTCTGCATTGACGGTCGCTTTGGGGGGAGACGGCGGGTGTGGCGGCCAAGCTGCTTCAGTCGCCAAACGCGCCCCTTGCCCCGCCCTCCCGTCAAACATGCGGCTGCTACGACTGCAGCTGCTAACAAAATACTAGCGTGAGTTTGGCTTAGGAGCCATAGTTTAGGAGCCTTGGTAGTTGAGTTCGAGTTTAGGAAAAGTATCGAGAGGTTTTGGAAGGAGAGGAATGGGGTTTCACTAGCAAGAGTTGGGAAACAAGTACAACACCCTAAATTGGGTTGTACTCATTACAGAGTACCCCACTGCAGGCTAGACAGCAAATACATTTTGACACACCCCCATAGCCAAAGTGGGGTGTAATCAGCACAATGAGCAAGCATAGAGCAAGAGTTCACAATAGGTAAGTAAGGCTAGAGCTAATCACAGAGGGCAAGTGAGGAGGAGAGACTGTGGGGGAGAGAAGATGGGAGGCGATTGTTGACGCTGCAAACACACAGACGAGCTGCTGGCTCAGTGGCTACCGTAACAGCGCTCCGGACTACTTGGGTAACTGGCCCCGCGTCTAAAAGTAGCGACAGACGAGCAACGGACCCACGGGCGACTGGCGACTACCGGAGATTGCAGCCTCCGGACTGCTGCTGCTGCTGACGACAAGACTTCTGCCTCCACTCAACCTCCCCAGCTGCCTAACGCCCTTCTCACACACCCCCTGCTCAAACCCTAGCCCTACACCCACGGCACCCCCTTAAACCCTAAACCCCAGACTCCCACACATCCACCCCCCTCAGCGAGAGCTGCAGTAGTGGGAGACGAAGGAGGAGGAGGAGGAGGAGGAGGAGGAGGAGGGAACGACACGCACAACCGACACCCCCACAACCATCACCCCCACACCCACCCCCCAACGGCTGCACCGGGTCCAGGAGCGGCTGCTGCAGGGGCCAGGAGCGGCTGCTGCAGCGGCGGTTGCTCCAGGGGCTGCTGCTGCTGGGGCGGCTGCTCCAGGGGCTGCTGCTGCTGGGGCGGCTGCTCCAAGGGCTGCTGCTGGGGCGGCTGCTCCAGGGGCTGCTGCTGCTGGGGCGGCTGCTCCAGAGGCTGCTGCTGCTGGGGCGGCTGCTCCAGGGGCTGCTGCTGCTGAGGCGGTTGCTCCAGGGGCTGCAGCTACTGGGGCGGCTGCTCCAGGGGCTGCTGCTGCTGAGCGGCTGCTGCAGAAGCGGCGGCTCCAGGGGCTGCTGCTGTTGGGGCGGCTGCTCCAGGGGCTGCTGCTGCTGGGGCGGCTGCTCCAGGGGCTGCTGCTGCTGGGGCGGCTGCTCCAGAGGCTGCTGCTGCTGGGGCGGCTGCTTCGGGGGCTGCTGCTGCTGGGGCGGCCGCTGAAGTGGCGGCGGCTCCAGGGGTTGCTGCTGCTGGGGCGGCTGCTCCAGGGGCTGCTGCTGCTGGGGCGGCTGCTCCAGGGGCGGCTGCTGTTGCAAGGCAGGCCGCTCCAAGGGCGGCTGCTTCAGGGGCGGCGGCTCCAGGGGCGGCTGCTGCAGCGGAAAGTAGGAGGGAGGGGAGGGGAAGGGCGTGGCCCCCATTGTGCCCTGACGGGCGATGTGTTAGGGAGCCGCGCAGGTCCCCAAAAGTGCCTCGTCTGGCAACGAGAGGGGACTGCGCGCAGGCCCCTAAGGCGCCGCGACGAGGCAACGGGAGGGGCCGGCTCGCGGGCCCCGAAAGTGCCGCGACGAGGCGACAGGAGGGACCTGCGTGCGGGCCCCCAAAACGCCTCGACGAGGTGACGGTCGGGGCCAGTGCGCGGGCCCCTAAGACGCCGCGACGAGGTAGGAACCCGCCGCGCGCCTCGGGGTGCACGGCGGGCAGAAAACTGCCACGCGCTCCGAGCGCGTGGCGGGAAGAAAAATGGGATGTCGCACGCCACGGGGCGCGCGACACATAGTAGGGCAGCGTAATCGAGTGGGCCCATAGGCCAGGAACGTTAAGCTTTGATAACATGACAAAATACTAGCGTGAGTTTGGCTTAGGAGCCATAGTTTAGGAGCCTTGGTAGTTGAGTTCGAGTTTTGGAAAAGTATCGAGAGGTTTTGGAAGGAGAGGAATGGGGTTTCACTAGCAAGAGTTGGGATACAAGTACAACACCCTAAATTGGGTTGTACTAATTGCAGAGTACCCCACTGCAGGCTAGACAGCAAATACATTCTGACAGCTGCCATGCAAGCAACTGCGAGCTGTGCGATGGCGCTCGTCGCGGCACCTGTTGCACCCACCCATTTCTCCCCCCCCCCCCTACCCGCGATCTCGCGAACGCCAACCACGCCCGATGCCGTGTCTTCCACTGTGGACGAAGGTGTGGCGGGGGGGGGGGGGGGAAGGGGGAGGCGCGAGGGTGGTTGACGACACTCTGTTCGCTGCTGCGCCACACCGCTGCGCCGCCACACGCCGTCCCTTCTCTCTCCCTGCTACGCGTGCAGCAGTGGGGGGGGGAGGGTTTGGGGTGGCGGGTGTGAGCAAGAAGCTGCCGTCCCTCCTCTCTCTCTCACTGCCGCACGTGTCGCTGTGGGGGGGAGAGTGAGGGGGCGACGGAAGTCAGCCGGTCATCTGCTGCTGTCGCCCGCTGCTCCTGTAGCACCTCCAGCTGCCGCCCCTGCTACCACCTTCCTTTGCTGCCTTTGCTTCTGCTACCTGCTGCTGGGGCCTGCAGGTGCTGCCGTTGAGCCGCTGCTGTCCTGCTGCATGTTGCAGCCACAAAGCCTGCTCCTCAGGTGACCTGCCGCCCCAACACCTGCTACTGTTTATGCCTTTGTCAAGGGGTTGGTACAGCTGGATCTGCCATCACTGCACCGGTTGCCACTGCACTTGCCTGTTGCTGTGATTTCCGCTGCGGCCTGTCTGGTGTACCCCATTATGGGGGCGTTGACTGCACATTCTTCCCTATAGGCACTTATGGGGGCGTGTCAGAATAATATATAATTCTATATATTGTTTTATAACTGCCTGTAGTGTAGAATACTGTAGTCATACAACTTTCTGTTTGGTGGTGCACCTTTCTTCATTCTTGCCTATTTGTACTACTCGCTCTATAGTGAACAACCTTTTTTGTTGCAATCTTTTTCCTCTCGATACTCTCGTCAACCCCCTTCCTAGCACCTAAGGTTTCCATGCCTCCTAGGTTCTAGAACTGTTTTAACAAACCCGTCTCTAAATGTGATACAGTGACCGTTCGCGTTTTCTATTTACCATTCACGTTATTGAGTTCCAAGTTGGTTACTTATGGAATATTTTCCCTAAGATGGATAGCTATGGGGATTAACCTAGGAACAGGGATGGGATTGGGAAACGTATGGTCATGGAAATTACACAAGGGGGGCAGGAATAGGGAAAAAGGTGGTCATGGGGATTGCACTAGGGATGTGCATGGGATTGTACAAAGGGTGGTTATGGGAACTGTGCTACAGCTGGGAATGGAGTCCGGAAAGAGCTGGTCATGGGGATTGGACATTAGCAATGATGAGGATGGAGATGCGAGAACGAATGGCCATGGGCATGGGAATTTTGATGGGTTATTAATATTGGGATGGGTCTGTAAAAATATATAGGGATGGGAGTAGGATTCGAATGCGGATGGGACTAGGATGGGCGTGTGGATGGGAGTTTGGATTGGCACAAAGATGAGAATGGGCATGAAGATGGGATTGGAAAAATGTGGGTCCTGGGATTGTATGGTAGCAAGGATGGAAATAGAGATGGAAAAATGGATGGCCATGAGCATGAGACTTGGGATGGGGGATGGAAGTAGCGATGAGCATGGGGATAGGACGAGGGACGGGCATAAACGGAATGGACATCACGATGCAAAGCTGGATCGACATTGAGAAGGGGTATGACCTTGGGGATGGGCTTATGTACGGGCATTTGATGAAAAGAACAATGGGATATGGAATCATGATATAGGCATGTGGATGGGAATAGAGATAGGAATGGGGATTGGGAAAGGGGTGGTCACAGACATTAGACGATAACAAGGATGAACATTGCGATGGGGGAATAAATGGGAGTGGGCATGGGACTAGGGATGCGGGATGCGAGTTGGGATGGGCACGTAGACGGGAGTAGTAATGTGGATGGAGTTGGGATAAGCACAGGTATAAGAATAGGGATTGGCATGGGGAAGGGACTAAGGATGCATGAGGATGAAGATGGGATGGGCATGGGGATGGGCCGGGGGATTCGCATGGGGACGGCCGTCGAGATCGGCTTAGGGTTGGGACTAGGAATGGACATGGGAGGGGAATAGTGACTAGAGATGGGCGTGGGCATGGGGTTGAAATAAGGTAGGATGGGATTACGGGTGGCATTAGATTGAGAAAGGGATGTGCGTAGGGATGGAACGAGGGACGCGCATGATGTGGTGAACTTGAGCGATAAATCCATTCTAATGGCCTTTTTTTAGCCTGCGATCTTAATTATATCTTTAATAGAGTTTGATGGATTGGGGAGGGTCCACAGAACGAGTACTTGAAGCAGTGCAAATATGACGCCCATAAATAGAAAATTTACAGTCTGCCTCCAAGGAGAAGCTCTTCTGTGCCAAATTTGGCATTGCAGAAAAGTAGAATATCGTACAGGCTTGTGGTGAGATGTTCGAGAAATATATACAATGCAAACCGTACACACACCAGGGAACACACAGATTTGGCCTACCTGAAAATAACACACACTACCAAGCACGCAGCAAACTTACGCTACTTCTACTACCGTAATCTCACCTCAATCTCGAATAACCTGTCCTCCTGAACGGCATCATCAAGCCACGACTGGAGGTCTTTTCGCATGCTTGCTGGTGCAAAGTCTGAAACACGAATAGTGCTGGTTCCTCCAAGGAACGAAAACACCTCTGCCGGGATCAAAGATGCAGCCACCACCTGCTTGGCTTGCATTTGGAACACTTCAACCGGGACTGAGCCTACTCTATGCACTGGGCCTATGGGTGCATGGCCTAAAATGTGCTCGCCCACGGGTGTTCGCTGCATCAAGCCTCCACGCTGAACACCCTGTGACAGCACTTGCGTGGATTGTACTGGCACACAGAGATTGGAGTCCTCTGGTGGTAGAGAGCCTTGGAAATGCTGTCGTGCTCAAGCTTCTCGCATCGAACCTGTGCTGCTTATGATTGCCATGGCTGCTGCACTTTGCATGTTCACATCTCCATTAGTTATAGTCACTGCATCTTGCATGTACACACCCTTATCAGCCATGACTGCTGCTCCAAGTAGGCTGTTGGCAAGGATTGGCGTTTGGACAGAAGGGGATAGAGCAACTGATGCACTGGGAATGTGGTCCTCACCCATTCTGTGTTGGCGTTTGATTGTGTTGCCAGGTGGGTGAGCAAGTAAAGGAAGAAAGTGCTTTCTGTGGCGTTTTACATCAGCCTCTGTGTGACTTGTGCTGCAGGGCTTGAAACTGGTGCTCCAGGGCTTGTAATCGGTGCAGCAGGGGTTGTAGCCGGTGCTGCAGTGCTTGAAATCGGTTCTGCAGGGCTTGAAACCGGTGCTGCAGGCCTTGTTGCGGTGTGTGCAGAAGGTGCTGGGTGGCCTGTCAGAATTGGTGCTGCTGGCCCTGGGTGTGATGGGAGTTGTGGATGTTGTTGGATCTTCCACCTCGCAGGGCTCTGCGGCTGATCGCACAATGCTGGTGGGCGGTTCAATGATGGTGGGAGGCTCATTGATGGTGGGCGGTTCAACGAGGGTGGGCGGCGGCTCAATGATGGTGGGCTGCAGAACGAGGGCGGGCGGCTCTACGATGGTGGTCTGCACATGATTTCTCAAGGCACGTGGCTCTGCAGGCGCTTCACGCTCTCTATGCGCACATGTGCAGTCATGAGCAGAGGTGGTTGCGCAGGCACAGATGCTGTTGTAGGCGGAGAGAGTAGGCTCACCCCAAGCTGCACCCATGGCATACACCTCCTCAGTCTTCTCTTCCTTTTGAACCCATGAGGCACGGTTACTTGCACTGGCATGAGCATAGGGAGGGGAGGCAGGCAGATGCGTGCCCAGGGCTGAGGCAAGGCTCTTATAAAGCTTTCGAAAAGGCCTAGTTTCAAGCGTATGAGGAGTCCCTGTTTCAGGTGTGTGGCGCAAGGCAATGCCTGCTTGACTTGACATCTTACAGGGGCTTCCTGTGAGAACTTGTGAGGCAGGGACTCTTGGGCTGGAGAGAGCACCAGGCATAGCAGCAGATATGGTCTCTAGAATGTCTTGGGCAGGGCGCTCTGTGATAGAATCCGCAAACGACAGCAGCAAAGCCGTCAAGTTCCACGATGGATGTTGCTGTTCTTGATGTTGCTGCTGATTGGGTTGCAGTTGCTGGTGCATCGATGGCGGTTGTTCCTGCTGTAGCAGCTGCTGTTGCTGCTGCTGCTGCTGCTGCTGCTGCTGCTGCTGCTGCTGCTGCTGCTGCTGCTGCTGCTGCTGCTGCTGCTGCTGCTGCTGCTGCTGCTGCTGCTGCTGCTGCTGCTGCTGCTGCTGCTGCTGCTGTTGGGGCTGCTGCTGCTGTTGGGGCTGCTGCTGCTGCTGCTGCTGCTGCTGCTGCTGCTGCTGCTGCTGCTGCTGCTGTTGGGGCTGCTCCTCCTGCTGCTGCTCCTCCTGCTCCTGCTGTTGTTGCCACAGCGACGGCCCATCCCCCTGGGTCAGAATTCCAGGAGCACCAGATGCAGTACAGCTGTCTGTCCAAGATTTTATGTGAGTCAACCCAAAAACCGTCTGCAGCGCGTCCCACTGGTCCAGAATCCCAGGCGCATGGGCTGCAGCAAAGCCATCAGCCACAGCAGCACGACCGTCAGCCAGAGGAGCGCCATCAGCCCCAGCAGCACCCACAACAAGCTTCATTGGTATATCCCTCTGCTTCAAGCTCCCAGACGCGTGGGATGCAGCACAGCCGTCAGCCGCAGGAGCACAGCCGTCAGTCGGTGCTGCCCAGTGGGTAAAACTTCCACGGGCATGCGATGCAGCAGCGCCATCGGCCACAGGAGCACAACCATTAGCCACAGCAGCGCATCCGTCACACTCAGCAGCACACACCACAGGCCTCATCGGTGTAGCCCAGTGGGTCAAGATCCCAGGAGCATGGGATGCAACACAGCCATCAGCCACAGGAGCACAGCCATCAGCCAGAGCAGCCCAGCCTTCAGCCGCAGCAGCACCCAGCAGAGGCCTCAGCAGTCTTGCCAGCACAGCTGCTGAACGACCATCCACTGGCCCCTCACTTCCGCCTTCCCTTGTTAGGAAGGATTGCTCTGCGATGCTCCTCACACAACCTGCTGCCTGCTCCTCATGATATGTTGCTGACTTTTCATAATAAGTTGACAGAGGTCCCACATGGTTGAGACTGCTCCGAGGTAGATGCGTTTGGTGCTCCTGGGCCATAGGCGCTCTTGCTCCCAGCTGCGGGTAAGCATCATGCAGCAAACCTTCCTCCTCATCATGCAATCGATGCCTCTGACTTTCTCCTTGATAGATGGTCCGCGTTTCCTCAGGCACTGTAGGCCGCCACATGTCAGGAGCTGTGTTTTTGTTGAATTCAGTGGAGAAGCCACTAGGGAGGATACGCCCAGCTGGGTGCAGAGCAGATGGTTGGAGGTGGGTCGGCAGGGGCAACACGGACGGAAGGCTCTGCGTACGCAGCCATTCATGGATGTGTCTCTGCTCCTCGTGACAGGGAGAGTGCAAGAGGGCTGCTGCACCAGCAGCAGCACCATCTCCAGAAGCAGTAGTAACAGCAGCAGCAGAGGCACCGACAGGAGAACCAGCACCACCAGCAGCACCACCACCACCACCAGCACCAGCACCAGCACCAGCACCAGCGGCAGCATCAGGTGCACCGTCACCACCATGAGCAGTAGCAGCACCAACACCAGCAGCAGCACAAGCACCATCATTAGAAGCTACAGCAGCACAACCAACATTGAAAGCACTGCCATCAACAGTCACTCCCACGCTCCCATGCTGTACGGCTTGCACGAGGGCCTCCAGGTCGCCACAAGAAGCAGCAAGTTGAATGGCCTCAGGTGCTGCGGCGGAGCCAACCGCGCCATGTGAAGCCGGAAGGTTGATATGGTGGTCACCAGGGAGGTTAGCAACAGGGGCGCTAGGGTAGTAGGGCGTACGCCGAGTTGGAGCTCCTGGGTGGTTGTGGAGTCGGCATTTGTAAGTGACGTGGATAGAGTCGGGGCTGTTGATGTCGACAGTCTTCTTGGCAGGGCAGCGAGGGATGGCCTTGGCAAGACTGCACTTGTAGTAGCACCTGTCAGGGCAAGGAGAGCACGAGGGAAGACGGAGATAACAGGATTCTCAGTTCGAGTAAAAAGACATGGATAAGGGATGGCACAAGTGCTCAACCAGACCTAACGGGACGCGCAGCAGAGTCAGGAGTCACGCGAGGCTGACCTGGTGGCACTGGACTGGTTCAATCTTTTCTGGCCGTACTTGAGCCAGTTGTGCCCATCGGAGGCCACCACCTTCGCCACCACCCCCTCCAACCCCCGCAGCCCAAGCTCCTGCCGGTGCTGCTGCGGCTCACAGCCGCGCCACTCCTGCTGAGGGCCACTGGCAGTTGCTTGCTGAGGATTCGTCAAGTGCCAACTCGGTGTGGCCCATTTCAAAGCCATTTCCATAATGGAGATGATAACTCGCAGGCAACTCAGGGCATAATTGCTCGCAGACAGCTCGTGGGAGCCACTCGTTATGACAACTCATAGAATCGACCTCCCGGGAATGAGGGTTACTTAGAAGTGCCCTCCAGACAGCCGAGGGGTTTGGTGGGAAGGGTATGGGAAGGGTGGTAGCACTCACACAGAAAGTTAATGTTGAGGCGCCGGCTTGCGGTTAAGGCACTCTACAAGTCTTGATCATTCTCAGACTTGGAAAATGAAGCAAAAGAATGAGTCCAGCAGTGCTAAGACATGGTTTAGTACTGTAGTGACTAGCATCAGCTCGGCCTCCATTCATTCTTGATAAGCTGTTGAGGCAATGCACCTCAAGTTCCGTGACTGTCAGAAATAACACGTGGTCTTCAGAGCTGTCACAGAGCCTCCAGTGGAAACGAAACCCTGCCAGGGTCGGTGGGCGACGCCCCGGGCGTGAGAAACGCAGGCGTGAGGACTTTGATTCGACTGTGAGAGGTTGGGCGTGATTCGATCGTGAGTTGCTCCGCTAGGAGCCACACCACCCACGTGATAGCGCTGTGAACCTGAGGTTGGGCGGACTCAGGGCAGGACGGTAGAAGGAAACGGCAATGATCATGGACTGAAAGATTTTTTCAAACAGGCTGTTCGTAGGAAGTTTCACTGTGGATCCACTGGCTCGTGTCAATTATGTATCAATACAATATTACAGCACATAATCTTGGCTCGTAATATGATTGGCTCCTCCTCCTGTACGACAAAAAAGCACCGCGCGCGGCGCTTCCAGCCAGCTCTGGCAACACATTCGCCTTGCCTGTTGCACCTGGCACTGATCGTTGGTCAGGCCTCCTGTCATGACTTGTTTTAACACAAAAAAAAAAATCAAACTAACTAAACAGCGAAATTGGCAGATAATGGCGAGTCGCATAAGCTATCTAAAAGGCTTGTCAGTCAGTTTTACGGAAAGTAGGGTTTCTGAGGTGAGGTTACCAGAAGGTGGTATTCGCTGATCCGACTTCAGTAGGTTGTGTGGCGGTTGTGTACACCTAGTCCGCGGTATTTTAACCAGGTGAACTTTGTTCTTTCAAACCCCCTTTGTTCGTTTCTGGGTAATGTTATTAGCATCCAGAGAATTCGAGGCTACGATTCTGCAGCCGAAAGCACTTCCATCTAAGGAACTCACACTTAGTGCTCCAAGATAGACGGATTGAAATTTGTCACACTCGGCATTCACTGAGTTTTTTCTGCCGTCATCTCGCGAAGGGAATGCTAGATTCTACCCTCGTAAATTTTGAAACAACCCGTCTAAATAAGTTTGATAAAGGAGAAGTACCCTCGCGTGGTTAAGATAGCGCCGGTTTAAATACCGCGGACTAGGTGTATGGGGCGAGAAGGCTGCACACATGGGGTTATCACAGTTGCATGCTCAACTTGTGAGAGAACTATTCTTTCACCTAACATTCGCACAAATCTGCTATAATACATGAGGCACCCTTAGAGTTTTCTGGTTGGGAGGTCTTAAGCTATAAAACTTTTGCCAGAAAAAGGGTGAGAAAAGCCCGTGGGCGCGCTCTGGTCGCGATGCGATTCCAATTACAATCATTCTTGTTCGAGAAAATGATGCGAATACCCCCCGTAATAATGCAGGGGTGATATTGGCGGGGGTGTTTGCCTTTCAACGCGCTTTGAAAGAATACGGGCCACTGACCACTGGTAAGAAACGGGCAGGGGTGCTTGCCTTTCAACGCGCTTTGCTGTTGATATTGGCGGGGGTCATGTGTACAACCAAATCATTGCTTCTACGCTACATGAGTGGCTCAAATTCCAGACCGCTTGAATTATGGGTCATCGAAATGATGACCAAGTTCAACAAGTTTCACGAGTGAACTATGCGTGATAGTGTTTTTATTTATATTATTATTAACGAGTAACAAAGAGGGGTCATAGAAGAGTGACTAGCATGATAGATTTGGCGGAAGAAGTGACGATTTGTGATAGAAAAGTGACCACCTGTGATTAATCCGAAAGTTTCAATAACTGCCCGTAGAAAAAACCTTTGAAGTACAGTAACGGCCAAAGTTCTGCCCAAACTTGCTGTGAGCGGCCTTGCGCGAAGGTTGGAGCATGCACTGGCGGATTTCCTGGAGTTCGCGATCGCGAGGATCCTCCACGTATGCTGTAACCACAAGTTCATACGCGCTAAGGAGGACGCAAGCAGATACACGAACTCGTTGCGAACGAAGCGAATATAACGAAAGAAATTGCATCTAAAGCTCATGACAATTCTCTTTGGTCGCTACCAGTTCCACGCCCTAGACATTGCTTTAGGGCGAGGCCAGGATGTTCGCACACTTCATCCATCATCTCGCAAAATGATTCCACACAGTGCACAGCAATATCAAGCTTCACCGTTTCAAACCGTGACGCAACAAGGATAACCGCACATAATGAACTGAAATGAACTGCCTCGCACGGAGAGATGTTGGTGCATTTTTTGCCACATTCCTCTTTCCCTGTCGTAGCAACAAAACCCCTTGAATACGTTGCGACATCTTTCCGCGTTTCCAGCCGAATCGCTCTCTCATTCGCGTGTCTCTCACCCCGATCCTCTCGCCGCCATGGTGTGCATTCGGCAGGCCACCGTAAGTCGTGAGTCGTGACCCAGCCTTGCTCGACTGCACTTTTCCGGAGCCGAATTCTCAGCGCGCAGTCCTTTTGAAAGAAAAAAATCCTCTTACCTATTTTTTTCACCTAATGCGCCATTGACCTTGACTGAAATCGTCCAAATTTAGGATAACGGTCGTTCCTGAAGACTCAGGAAGGCTAGCTAAGGTTCTGTGTCGACCAACGTGGGAGTGTCGTTTTCTTTGAAAGTAGAGACTCAGCTGTTGCGATATGGCTCAGTATGGCTCACATTGCGTGCGCTGCCGTTTGCGCGATTTCTCGTCATGCTTCTCTCATCGCGTCCCTTCTCCAACCTCCGATTTCATCCCCGTTTTGAGCAGCGGATGCGTCTCAGCATCGAATTCCCCGGTGTATCGCAAACGTGTGCAACTGATGACCCTGGTTTCCTTTCTCGAACCTTTTAGCGGCAACGGACATCTAACCCCTCTTGTTCTCACCCCTAACCCTAACCCTCTTGCCCTTGAACCCCTCTTGATTTTGAATCCCTCTTGCCTTTCCACCCCTCTTGCCCTTCCACCCCTCTTTCCTTCCACCCCTCTTGCCCTTCCACCCCTCTTTCCTTCCACCCCTCTTGCCCTTCGACCCTCTTTCCTTTCCACCCCACTTTCCCTTGCACCCCTCTCGCCCCCCTTGCACCCCTCTCGCCCCACTTGCACCCCTCTCGCCCCCTTTGCACCCCTCTCGCCCCCTTTGCACCCCTCTCGCCCCTTTTGGAACTGTCGCGGGCAGGTGGAGGACCTGCTGGCCATGCAGAGCTGCAACCTGATGTGCCTTCCGGAGAACTACCAGATGAAGGTGCGGGGATGGTGATGGTGGGATGGTGGGATGGTGGTGGGTTGGGGAGGAGGATGGTGGTGGGCTGATGGGGTCAGTGTGCAGGTGGAGGACCTGCTGGCCATGCAGAGCTGCAACCTCATGTGCCTGCCTGAGAACTACCAGATGAAGGTGGGGTGGGGGGAGGGAGGATGATGGATGATGGTGGGAGGTGGAGTAGTTGGATGGAGGATGGTGGGGATGTAAAGATGGTGGGATGATTGGATGACGGAGACAGAATGTGAGGGGGAAGGAGATATTATGAAGTTAGGAGAAAAATGATAAAGAGAAAGGTGGCGGTTTCTCCCTTCGTCCAAACCCCCACCCTTCCTCCTGCCTTTTCTATGCCCCCTCCTCTCCCCTCCCTGCCCACCCGCTCCCCTTACCTCCCTCTTAGTACCAACTGTACTGCAACCTATCATGTCCTGACCTATTGTTCTCTCCTCGCCCCCCCACCCCACTCCTCCCCACCCACGCCCCCGCCCTCTCCCCTATCCCCTCCCCTCGGTGCAGTTATACCTGTTCTACATCCTGTTATGCTTCTTGACATAGTGTTATATTCTCCCCTTCCCTGGGGTCCAATCTGTAGGGATTTTTTTAGAATTCTCTAGGGTTTTTTTTAGAATTCTCTAGGGTTTTTTGAAGAATTCTCTAGGGATTTTTTGAGAATTTTCAAAAAATCCCTACAGCTTCTTGACATAGTGTTATATTCTCCCCTTCCCTGGGGTCCAATCTGTACAACATTCTGTAATTTCTCAATCTACAGGTTCTCTCTTCGCCTTCTCCCTCTTTCTCTCACTCCCCCACTCCCCACCTCCCTCCCGCTTCTCTGTACCACCTGTACCAAAGCCTGTCGGGAGGCTATCTGTTCTCTCCTCACCCACAAATCCCCACCCTCCCTCCTCCCCTCTTCCCCCCCTCCCCCAGTACTACCTGTACCACATCCTGTCGTGGCCACAGCTGCTCTACGTGGCGGAGGACTATAACAAGAAGATTGTTGGCTATGTGCTCGCTAAGATGTGAGTGTAACGAGGGGTGTGTGTGCTGCTAATAACGAGGGGTGAGTGTGTGCTGCTAAGATGTGAATGTAACGAGGGGTGAGTGTAGCTATTCGCAAGTGTTGTATTCTGCAACAGATTCAGTGCAACTCGTGTTACTCCATGATCCTCACGAATCTCCCCACCCGGCCGCATGTGGGGCATCTCTGCTTGGGCCTGGACTGGACATATCTGGGACATGGCATGGTATGGAAATGGGAATGGCATGGGGATGGGCTGGGCATGGGCACGGGCATGGGTATGACATGGGAATGGCATGGTGGCATGGCAGGGAGGAAGAGTCAACGGAGTGTCGCGGGCACATCACATCACTGGCCGTGTCTCGCACTCACCGCAAGCTGGGTCTCGCCACCAAGCTCATGACGGCTGCCCGTGAGTGGCGGGGTGCCTGTGAGTAGATAGAGGGGCTGCTCGTGGGTAGACAGTGATTGGTGCTCGTGAGTGTGCTCTTTGCCAAGTGTGTCGCGCACTCACCGCAAGCTGGGTCTCGCCACCAAGCTCATGACGGCTGCTCGTGAGTGCAGTGAGGCTGCTCGTGAGTGCAGTGAGGCTGCTCGTGAGTGCAGTGAGGCTGCTCGTGAGTGCTGTGAGGCTGCTCGTGAGTGCTGTGAGGCTGCTCGTGAGTGCTGTGAGGCTGCTCGTGAGTGTGCTCCCTACCAAGCGGGTCTTAGTCATCTTTTTCCATTGTCTTGTCTCATCCCATAATCCCATACCCCATCACCTCACTCCTGCCCTGCAGGGCACGCGATGGAGGAGGCGTTTGGTGCCGAATATGTGTTGCTGCCTCCCCATGCTTTCAACCCCATAGACCCATGCCCCATCACCCCATAAACCCATGCCCCACCACCCCATGACCCCATGTGACTTTCCTCTCAGAGCATGCAATGGAGGAGGTGTTTGGGGCCGAGTACGTGTCCCTGCATGTGAGGAAGAGCAACCGGGCGGCTTTCCACCTCTACACCGAAACACTCGGTTACAAGTGAGTTACCGAAACACTCGGTTACAAGTGAGTTACCCAAACACTCGGTTACAAGTGAGTTACCCTGAGCCTTAAACCCTAATCGTACTCAGGTAGCTTCCCGTTACAAACGAGTTACCAGCTGGCTGGCTACCTGTCTAATTCATGCAAGTCATAACTCTGAAGCAAGGGAGCAATGTATGCTTCAACTGTGTTCAATAACTTTCTTCCATTCTCCTGTCTCTCCCCTCTCCTTACCTCCTCCACTCCACCCTCTTCCCCCACCCTCCGTCCATCTTTGCAGGATCAACGACATTGAGGCGAAGTACTATGCTGATAGCGAGGATGCTTATGACATGCGCAAGAACCTCAAGCCCGCTGCTGAGAAGCCCAAGAAGGAGCTCAAGGGAGGAAAGGCCGCTTCTGATGATAAGGCATCATCTAATAACGAGGATGTGGCCAAGGAAGATGCTGAGGCAGCTAGTAAAGGGGATAGGGGCGGTGCAGAGGGGACTGGGAGGGCTGATGAGTCGAAGGCTGGGGAGAAAAAGGAGGAAGGTTCTGAGAAGGCGGGTGAGAAGGAGGTGGCTGCGCCGGCAACACCAGTGAGGGAGAAGGAGAAAGGGGCGTCCCGAGGGGGTGGCAAGGGCGGATCTGGGCGGCGGCGCAAGGGCGGCAAGGGCTAATGAACGTTGTTACTGTAGATTGCAATGCAATGCGTGAGATGAAATCGCGGGTGGGAAGTGGTTTTGCCGGCAACACCGGTGAGGGAGAAAGGTAGATAGGGGAGTTCCTTGTGATATGAGGGGTGGCCAAGGGCAAAAATGAACAGTCTCGAATTTGGATTTGATTTTAGTCGCCCTTGGGCATTCCAGATTCATGAGCCATCACAGGGTACAGAAAGGATTCAGTTTGAAACACAGTTTATGGGCGTTAGACGAGGGATGTTTCCACACTTTTCACATTGTAGCCCAGTATTGGCTGCCTGCAAACAATCAGAACCAGTAGCCCTTTTTGCCAAGCCCTGCTGAGCAATTCGACATATTGGCACTGTACAAGAGATGCACAGTTGTTACCCAACCATTTCAAGTAGGTAAATAACATCACAAATCAGGGGTAGGAAGATTGGCAAGTCAGCTGGTGCGCCCTAATGCCTTGCCAACATTCCTGCCCCTGATGCTCTGACCTACCATAGCACAAACGAAAGCGAAGTTACCGTATCCCACCCAACACACACAGACCTCAAAACCATGACTGTAGGCCCTTATCTGCAGCAGCAACACCCTGCATACCAAGCCCACTCCACTAGAGCCTCGCCAAGACAGTGTACTCTAATACCAAGCAGCAGTATTTTCAGGTTGCAACAGGCTGGGTTGATTGAAACCCAAACCCCTGTCAACCATCCCATGGCCATATCAAGCAGAACCAGCAGCAGAACCAGCAGAACCAGCAGTAGCAGCATCAGGAAATTTGCCACCCATAAGCTGTCCGCCCCACGTCACACCTGCTGCGCTGCTGCCCGCCAGCACAGCATACCCGCTCACTGTGCAGTTCACTCCGCCATCACCACCTGCAAATCCACCTGAAAAACCACCTGCAGGCGGCTGCTGCGCTCCCCCCTGCTGCTGCTGCCCTCCTTGCTGCTGCTGCCCCCCCTTCTTCTGTCCGCCCTGACTGGCAGGGCGGCCGAATGCGCGCATCACCAGCTCCCGCCCCATGGGCCTCCCACCCTTCCCGCTCCGCGCGCCCCCGGCGCTGCCTCCGCCGGCGCCTCCGCCGTTCTTGCGCGGAAGCGAGGCGCTGGGGAGCACCGCGAGCAGCGCGTCGAGGGTGGCGGCGTCCGCATTCTCGAGGAACGCGTCGAGGCGCGCCTCCGCGTGCAGCAGCCACCACCCCGCGCGCTGCTGCCAGTCCGCCGCGGCGAGCGGCAGCGCGAGGACGTTCGTCGCGGCGGTGTCGCACACGGCGCCCTTCACGATTGCGAGCGAGTCGGGCGGACCGCCTGCCGCATCCACTAGGAGTGCCTCGACGAGAAGGTTGTAATTGCCAGTGGCGTTTCTGAAACAGGGGAAGGGAAGGAAGGGGAAGGGAAGGGAGGAAGAGGGGAAGAGGCTGACTTTTGAGTCGACTCGAAAGGCAGCGCCTCGACGAGTGTAATTGCCGGTGGCGTTTCTGAAACAGGGGAAGGAAAGGAAGGGGAGGCCAGGGAAGAGGGGACGGGAAGGAGGGAAGGGAGGAATATATTCCTAATGAGCTCGAAGATCAGAGTAACTTCTGCTAAGGGGTTTCGAATATATTGAGTGCACCTGGGGCGAGGCGCGTGCGAATCCAATGTCGAGTAACTACTTCTAGTAGAGCTGAAAGACGATGCGGTAAACACACAACAGATGTGAGGCGACAGATAGGAAGGCAGCGAGACCTACTTGAAGATGGCGAGGTGGAAGCGGCCGTCAAGGATTTTCTGATCAGCCGTGCAGTTGGCCAGTCGCGCACCGACATCGGCCGTCAGATTCCCGACGGCCGTCAGGTTTAGCGGCGGACCGTGTGGCGGCTTTCCGCCAGGCCCACCAGGGCCATCGGGACCGCCAGGGCCGGCGCCAGGACCTCCGCGCGCGCCCCTTGGTCCCTGACCGCCGGGAGGGCCTCCGCCAGGCGGACCGCGCTGCGCCAATGCGGTCGACACGAGGAGGAGGATGCACGAGAGGGTGACGAGCGCTTTGAATGCCATGGCTGGTGTCGTAGCTGCGATCGACGAATTGGCGAACGTTTGCTTCCTGCTGTCACTTGTCGCTCAGTTTTGGAGCCTAAGCTTGGGCACTAAGTTACTAGTTGCTTTGTACGGGGAATGGAATGGAAGTTGGTGATGAATGAAATGCTAGGAGAGTCAAAGGCTACTTATAATGCTAGGAAGTCAAAATCAGGAGTCAGCGACTCGCGAGTCAAACTTGGTGAGACTGTGCTTCAGGTTTGGAATTACGTATGGTATTACTAAGCCATGTAGATGTCTCGCTGATTGCACAGGTTCGGAGCAACCATGTGGAAGTTCGGTTGTAGGGCCCAGTTCGGCAGCCAGGGGGAAGCAATTTTGTAGGAAGGTTATGGGAAGGTGAGGCTCGCGTCAAACCAGGGTCAACGAATTTTGAAAATGTGGGACGATGAGAGCTGAAAATGTGGGACGATAAATCAAAGACGTCAGTCAACGCAAACAAAAGGCGACTGCCAGCAGCAGTGTTTCCTGCACATTGGCGGGTGCAGTATAAGATACAGTGCAGATAGCGAAAATGGTACTCATTATACTTTCACCTCTTCACAAACATCTAGAATGCATTTTCGCAAGTGAAAGTGCACCTAGAGTATTTTCAACCCATGCAATGCTACGAAAAAAAAAGGGAAGTCTTCTGTCATATTTTGTACGGCGTCCACCCCACAATAACGAGCCTCAGCTCTCCAAAACATGGAACTTTCCCTGCTAGAGCCTTCCCCCGATCTATTCCATATTGGCAGAACCATCACGCATGCTCTCCTCTGCTGCCTGCTGCTCCTTACCCCCCTGCTGCTGCCCATCCACCTCGATCTTCTTTCCCCTGCTGCACTTTCCCCAGCAATTTATCCTGCTCTGCCGTCAGCGACTTCTGCTCTCCCTCTCGCTCGGGCTTCTCTTGCGCGCGCAGCTTCTCCGTCGCTCGCTGCAAGTTGAGGTACTCAAAGACAGCCACGTTATGGATATGGCAGTCGTCCTTGATGCACAGGTACCACCCCCACGCGTTCCCTGCGACGTCTGAGCTCTACTTTAGGTTACTCTGTCTTGGCAGATTGATCAGGTGCACTCTCCTCTGCTGACTGCTGCTGCTTGCCCCCCTGCTGCTCATCCACCTCCTCTTCCTTCCCCTGCTGCACTTTCTCCTGCGTTTTCTCCTGAGATTTCTCCAGCAATTTCTCCTGCTCTGCATTCTGCGCTTTCTCTCGCGCGCGCTGCTCTTCCCTCGCTCGCTGCGAGTTGAGGTACTCAAAGACAGCCACGTTGCGGATATGGCAGTCGTCCTTGATGCACAGGTACCGCCCCCACACGCTGTCGGAGATGGCGGGGAAGAAGGGCGCAAACACACGGTGCACCACGTAGAACCAGAAGGAGGCCGAGAGGATTCCGAGGGTGAAGCCAGCTAGAACCTGAAGGCGGGAAGGCGGAGGAGATAGGAAAATGTGTATGTGAATGTGGCTGTAAAATGTGAAGGTGGACGGGGATGGGCATGTCACATGTGGATGTGGCAGTCGTCCTTGATGCACAGGTACCGCCCCCACACGCTGTCGGAGATGGTGGGGAAGAAGGGCGCAAACACACGGTGCACCACGTAGAACCAGAAGGACGCTGAGAGAATGCCCAGGGTGAAGCCGGCTAGAACCTGAAAGGCGGGTGTGAATGGTGAGTGAAGGGACGAAGAGTGGTAAGGTGAAGCAAAGAAGGGTGCGAGCACACGGTGCACCACGTAGAACCAGGTGGAGGCCAAGAGGATTCCGAGGGTGAAGCCTGCTAGGACCTGAGGGATGGACGTAAGGTGGGTGAAGAAAAGGTGGGGAGGGAAGAAGAGGATCGAGGTGAAGAGAAGAAGGGCGCAAGCACACGGTGCACCGCGTAGAACCAAGTGGAGGCGGAAAGGTTGCCGAGGGTGAAGCCTGCTAGAACCTGGGGGCGGGTGTGAAGAGAGTGAATGGACGAAGAGTGGTAAGCTCGCGGGGAAGAAGGGCGCAAACACACGGTGCACCACGTAGAACCAGGTGGAGGTCGACAGGATTCCATTATGCAGGAGCGGGCAGAAAAAGAATGTAAAATGCGGTAATTGTCGTTAATGCACAGGTAGACACACGGTGCATCAGGTGAAACCAGGTGGACGCAGAGAGGATGCCCAGGGCGAAGCCTGCGAGGACCTGATGGGCGGGGAAGGGGCGGAGTTACGAGTATTTGGATGTAGCAGTCGCCGTTAATGCACGGACACACACACACATGGTGCACCAAGTAGAGCTGGACGATTTTTTTGTCGATTTAAAAACTGCCTCGTTCCAGAGAGAACCAGACGGAGGCGGCGACTCGGCGAGGATGCCCAGGATGAAACATGCAAGAACCCGGGGGGCGGGAAAGGGGATGAGGTAGGAGGAGAACGTAACGGTGAATTGAGGTGGCTGTGAAACGCGCATTTGAATGTGGATGGGGATGGGGATGGGGATGGGAATGGGGATGGATGGGGATGGGAATGGGGATGGGAATGTGAATGCGCAGACGTTCTTGATTCGCTCCCTGAAATGGTTGGTTGGGGAGAAAGAAGCATTCGTTAGTGGCAGTTCACTTCACAAACTGGTTTGGGCATGCCCGGGGCACAGACGCACTGGCAAGAGGGAAGTGGGTGACATGGGGTGATGAGGGGCATGAAAAGAAAGAGGGGGAGGGTGGTTAGGGGGCATGCAAGAAGGGGGGGCATGAGGGGGTAGGGGGCATGAGAGAGGGGAGAGGGAGGGGGTGGTTAAGGGGCATGAAAGAGGTGGGTGACATGAGGTGATGATAGGGGCATGAAAAGAAAGGGGAGGGAGGGGGTGGTTAGGGGGCATGAAAAAAGACGGGGCATGAGGGGGTAGGGGGCATGAAAGAGTGGGGGGAGGGATGAGGAAGGGAAGAGGGCATAAAACGGAAGGGGGGCATGAAGGGGGAGTGGAGGGGGGCATGAAGGGGGAGTGGAGGGGGGCATGAAGGGGGAGTGGAGGGGGGCATGAAGGGGGAGTGGAGGGGGGCATGAAGGGGGAGTGGAGGGGGGCATGAAGTGGGAGTGGAGGGGGGCATGAAGGGGGAGTGGAGAGGGGCATGAAGTGGGAGTGGAGGGGGGCATGAAGGGGGAGTGGAGAGGGGCATGAAGTGGGAGTGGAGGGGGGCATGAAGGGGGAGGGGGCAAGTGAATGAAGGGTGAATGGAAGAGGTGGTTTTAGACAGACTGTGAAGGGATGGGAGGAACCGGGAAAAAGAGGACGGGACTGGGAAAGGCGTGTGGCTTGACAAGTGTAAGAAGACGGGAGGGGAGTTGTGGAGGGTTAGACGATATGCCATGTCAGGTGGATGTGCCATGTCAGGTGGATGTGCCATGTCAGGTGGATGTGCAATGTCGGATAGTTGTGCCATGCATGCAATATGGTTGTGTCACGTCAAACGCTTGGTTGGCCGTGCTTTTATTTGGTCACTGCCTCACTTCCACATGCCGCTTATCACATTGAAGAACTCTAATGAAGCTCCCCATTTACTTTCATACCCCATATAAGCTCACCTGCGGTATCGTATGGTAACCGAGGTACACCCGCGAGGCCATGGTGAGAAAGGTGAAGGGCCACGGGAGGACGGCGGTGATCCATCGCCACCTCTCGTCCTCGTAATCCATTTTGTAAAACACGAGCCACGTCGCGAACGTCGCGAAGAACGACATGAATTGCGAATGCGCGGACGGCATGCCGTGCGAATCGCACACCTCGAGCGCCGCGCACGTGTGCGGCGGACGCGGCATCTCGAGCGCGTGCTTGATCACGTGGTTGAACGTGTCGTCCAATAGGAGACCGAGCATGAAGAACATGGTCCGCAAATCGCGGCGGAAAACCACGTGGGTGGGGAAGCAGCCGAAGGCGATGAACACGGGGACGAGCGAGGCCCATGCCATGATTACACCGAGGGGGTCATCGTGATAGTAACGAACGTGAGTAAGGTCCACCGCACGAAGCTCCATCTTGGTAAGACTTGAGATAAGCGAGACAAATCAAAGGATAAAAAACAAAAATCCCTATGAAACGGTTTATGAATATAAAAATTACACAGGAGACCTTGCGGTCTATATGGGCTAGACAAACAGGTTTGACGTGAGGTTACGGCATTGAAGGTGCTGGAATCAAGACGGCATTTGTGGCGCAAAATGCGGTCTAATTATTCCCACAGGCGAAATCGAGGCAACACTGTCCCTCTCGTGTGGTGGAGATGAAGCAAGAGCCAGCGTGTTACCAACGAGGGGATTGAATCACCCCCGCAACAATGGACGATTTCACCTGTCTCATCCCCCCTCGACCAGCCTTCGGGATGGAATGGAAGGAATGCTGTAGTGACTAATAACACTGTTTCGGTTCTTGGGAGTTGATCGGTTGTGGAATCTGTAGCTACACTGCCACAACCCCAGGTCGGGCGAGAGGGTAACCTAGACGAGGTTGTTACGGTGACGTCGTTCTGTTACGCGTGGTTTCGCGAGCGAAAACCAAATAAAATTCTGGTCCTTGCGAAACTTTTTTGGAACCGTTTGGAATCGCGAATTTCGCATTGGCGCAGTTACCAAACTGTACGATCACCAAGAAAAGTGAACTGAGTCGCAAAAAACCTCTGGCCTGTATTGTGTAACTACGCCCTGCTCGTTTAGGGGTTTTGGTTTGAAATTACAAGTCAGCCTCCTCACCCACGAGTCGTCCTTACATCGAGCAACGTATTTTCACCTTGTTTTCAAGTATCCGCTGTCGAATTACCAACTCAGGGTGCCAGACAACTGACCAGCAACAAAGCTTCTCTTTGTTCTTGACCTGTCAGTTCCAGAAATCGTCTCTCTCCGGTTAGCTTGTTTGGATTTTATCTTCTTCCTCTTGGTGAAGCAGCGAGCGACAAAATGCCCGAAAAGCGCGACGGCGATGGTCCCGAGGGGCAGGAGCTGGTATCGGCGAAGCGGCAACGGACGGATCTGGTGCCAGCGTCATCTGGGGCAGATGGCGACAAGGGGAAGCAATTAACTGTCACTAAGGACGTAAGCCATTGCCGAAATGATTTGGTCTCTCTTAATCTCCTCGTATGATGCGCGTAACATACATCTAAAGGCCGTCAGCGCGGAAAGGTGGCCTTTCTGACCGACTTAAGAAACACCCCGCGTATCCTTAATTACCATAGCAGCAGGTTCTGCTTTAGGCTGAACATGGGAGGGAGCTGGCATCAGGGGTTTAATCATGTTTGCAGCCCGTATATAGCCGTTGATTATTATCCTGGGTACGCCCCTTGTTTTTTTTTGTTTTTTTTCCTCGTCACAGATGTGCACTGGAACATTTACGTCCTAGATTTAGTACTCTGTGTTCTTTTGTGGCCGTTAGGTTGACCGTTGACCTGCTAAGGTAGACCTACCAAAGATTGTAGATTATGGTAAAATTGGTCGTTGTGAGTTTGCTGCCTCCAGCTGGCTACGTGTCATGTCATGTCACCACGATGACCGCCGCTTTGACCATCTGTACATGCGCCATTGGTATGTTTGTTGCACGATCCCACTGTGTGATGAGTGTTGCATTGTCTTGCCTTTGCACGTTGCCATTTGCACATGCAGGGAGTGAAGAGGACGTCATCGCTGCTCGCTCCGATCATGCTGCTCACAGGCCATGCGGTGAGTACAACTCACACCAACGGGCCAATTTCCATTTGCCCATCCCCCCTCTTTCTTAACCCCCCCACACGTCCCATCCCCCCTTTGTCTAACCCCCCACACGTCCCATCCCCCCATGCGCCCATTCCCCATGCGCCTATTCCCCCATGCGCCCATTCCCCCATGCGCCTATTCCCCCATGCGCCCATTCCCCCATGCGCCTATTCCCCCATGCGCCCATTCCCCCATGCGCCTATTCCCCCATGCGCCCATTCCCCCATGCACCTATTCCCCCATGCGCCTATTCCCCCATGTGCCTATTCCCCCAAGCGCCCGTCCCCCCCTGCACCTATTCCCCCATCCGCGTATTCCTGGTTTTGCCTATCCCCATCAATGCGCCCATCCCCCATCAATGCGCTCATCCCCCATTGATGCGCCCAACCCCCCATGCGCCTATTCCCCCCTGAGCCCCTCCTCCCATCTGTCCATCCCCCGTTGCACACATCCCCCTAACGAAACCATTCGCCCATGCACCCCGTTCTCGTATGCGCCCATCCCTCCACTCCTCCTTCCAGGCGGGGGTATTCACCATGAAATTCAGTCCGGACGGGGAGGTCATCGCTTCAGGTTCACAAGACAAGGAGATATGTGAGTGTGATTTTTTGTGTAATGTAATATTTTGTGAAAGCTTACTACTTTAAATGAGTGCGCTACTTTTTCTCTGTGAGTTTCACTCCTCTTCTTCCTTCCCACCCACCCACTCAACCCCCCAACCCCCTCTTATTTGCCACCTCCTCTTAGTCCAAGGGCCACAAGAACGGGCATTTTGGAGCTGCAGTGAAGCACACCTCTGTTTCCCTTCCTTCTCTCTCTTGAACCCATTTCAACCATCCCCCCACCTTTTTTCAATCATGTGTCAGGGCGACAATTTCACGGTGCTTAAGAACCACAAGAACGCTTTGCTGGAGGTGGACTGGTATTATCATGTGACATGCTATACACACACTCATCACTTACGCACTCATCACGCGTGCCTTCACCACTTCATGCTCTCATCCTGCGTCCTGCTGTTTTGTAGCGCACCATCCACCTCCCTCTAGAGACCGACACTGACTGGCACACTAAATAACTGCGCACCCCAGTTAAAATGACTTTTCTTGGATCATTTATCATGTGTGTGTGGACATGCATTAGATGAAGGGCATTCACATCCGAGAGATCTTCCAAGCAGCACGCACTTTCGCCCCGCCTGCGAGCCCCCAGCCCCAGGAGGGGCGAAAGCTCCTGCTGCTTGGAAGATATCTTGGATGTCAATGCCCTTCACGTAGTGCATGCCCACACACACATAGCGAATGACCCGGAAACCAACATTTAAAGTGGGGTGCGCAGGTGTATAGTGTTCAGGTCAGTGTTGTGTTTGTGTTTAGAGGGAGGTGGATGGTGCGCTACTTAACAGCAGGGTGCAGGACGAAAGCATGAAGTGGTGAGTGCGCGAATGTTGAATGCGCAAGTGATGAGCGCGTGTGTAGCACAGCATCTCACCTGCACCACCTTCATTGAAAAACACACTACCTCGTTGCCCCCCCTCCCCCACTTTCGTGTTCTTCCTTTTTATCGGCAGTCTTGTCCTGTGGCGCATAGAGCTAAGTTGGAATATACGCTTAGGGGCCTTAGCGTTCAGCGTTTGAACGCTAGCGTGCATACGCAATACGCGAAACGCTAGCGAATACGCTATACGCAACCCAATTTTTTTTTGGGCAGCCCGCCCGACCCAAAAATTTTCAAACACACCAAAAGATGCGGAATGGCACGGCGAGTGATTCTGCGACGTCAGATTGCACGTCCGAGATCTAGGGTTGCGGGAAATTGGATTTATGTCCCGGTGTCGCGATTTCACTTTCACATGTTGCACGTTGACATATTGATGGTCACGTACATCGATTCGCGTGTGCACGTTTGAACATTTCTATCCCAACACGTTACCGCATTCAAACCCACAACATTCATTCAGTCCAACCCTTCCGACCCAATCCCCCGCCACTCGTCATGCAGTTTATCAACTCGTCAGAACGTCCATCCCATTCAGTAATCCTCTCCCGCTACCAACAACTAGCCTCAGTGCGATGTCATCCAGCAGTCCGCCTCTCACGCCGCATTCCGATCAGTCTGTGGAGAGTTCTATCCCTCGTCCAGAAGGGACCAGGGAGTACCTTCCCGATGTAGTCCAAGATGTCTTCAAGCACTTCAGTATCATCAAGCGCGAAGAGGGCAAGGCACAGCAGTACGAGTGCAAGTACTGCTTCAAGGTCTTTTCAGGTGCCGCCATCCGATGCGCTCAGCACCTTAGCTCATGGAAGAAGATGAAGCGCCGCGAGGTGGTGCTTTGCGGGAAAGCACCTGCTGATGTTCGCCTCGAGATCCGCAAGAAGTACGAGGCGCAGGCTGCTGCGAAAGAAGAGAAACAGCGAGCGGTGTTGGCTGCTATAGCGTCGGTCAAAGCCGGTGGCAAACGGGCCCGCATGACCGACTACCTCGAGGGCGACGCTGCTGCGGCAAAAAGTGAAGCACATGAAGGTCTTGCGCTCATGATTGCCGCATGTCGCCTCCCTGAGAACCTGGTCGAACATCCGCTCTTCGTCAACTCTATGCACCTGGTCGCCCGCGCCGGGAAGGGCTACCTTCCGCCACGTCGCAAGTACATCGGAGGTGCCGGACTGCTCGCTTGCCGCAAGGGTATTGAGAACGGCTTGATGGGGATCAAGGCTAGCTGGAAGAAGACAGGTGTTACCATCGCGTCCGACATGATGACAGACAAGTGTGGCAGGCCGCAGGCGAATGTCCTCCTCGTCAACGACGCGGGCGCTGTCCTGAAGGAGTGTGTGGACTGCAACACGGAGAAGAAAACAGGGGGTTACATCGCGGGGATATTGAAACCCGTCGTGGAGGAAGTCGGACCGAGAACGTCGTCGCGTTCTGTATGGACGGGGGTTCCAACTACGCGTCGGCGTGCCGGAAGCTGATTAAGATGTGGCCCCACATTCAACAGGTTCCATGTGCCACCCACGTCATGGACCTGATGATGGAGGACGTGGGAAAAATGGGGTGGGCAAAAAAGGTGGTTGACCGTGGCGGTGAGATGAGCTCCTTCACCCGCAACCACCATTGGACGCGCGGTTACTTGCGGGACCGTAAGTTGGTGGAGGGGAAGGTGTTGCAGCCGTTGAAACCCGCAGGGACCCGCTTTGGGACCCAATACATTGCTATCTCCCGTCTCTGTCAGCTTCGCCCCACCCTTACGCAGATGGTCGTCAGCGACGAGTGGAAGGTGTGGGCTGCTGGATCGCGCAAGGAGGTTGCAGAGAAGTTCGCCGCGCAGGTACTCGACACGGCGTGGTGGAAAACTGCCGAGTTTTTCACCAAGCTGATGCAGCTCCCTTCAAGGCGATGCGCATGACTGACGGGGAGGCAAAAGGGATGATGGGCAGGATCTATGACGTGATGCTTCAACTCACGGAGGACGTTGAGGCTCTCGTGGACGCGGATGAGGAGCAGTTGTGCATCAGCGATAAGAAGCAGATCTGCCGCATCCTCAAAGACCGGTGGGACGAGAGCCTCGCGTGCGCCATGCACGTGGCAGGCCGCATCCTCAACCCCGCGAACCAGGAAGAGGACATTTTCGGCGGCGACGCTGAATGCACTCGTGTCTTCAAGGCGTTCCTTCATCAGCATGCGGAGTTCCTCGTCGGCCACGACGGGAAGGGGAGGGATGCGGCCTGCGATTACTTGGTTGAGCTGGGGGACGGGCTGAGGGATTTCCTGGACATGAAGGGTAATTTCGGGATGGCAGAGGCTGTGGCACAAAGAGAGATGGTGAAGGCGGGAAAATACAGCATGGTGAAGTGGTGGCAGTGGAACGGAACAGATGCCCCTCGCCTTGCGTCCCTCGCCATCCGGATTCTCTCGCAGCCCGTCTCGGCTTCACCCTGTGAGCGTGGCTGGTCATCGTGGGAGTCCGTCCACACTGCCCGCAGGAACCGCTTAGGATCCGCCAAGTGTGCGGATTCGGTGTTTGTTGCGCACAACTGGAACGTTGTGCGCAACTGGCACACGCGCAAGGATGTGATGCCGAATGTTGTGTGTGGGAATGAGCCGGAGCCCCCCATCCCCGAAGGTTACAATGTGCTGGATGAGCAGGAGGAGGAGGAGGAGGGTGAGGATGAGGACGCCATCTTGGAGGACGAGTATGAGTAGTGGGTAACGAAGTGGGGGGGGGAGGAGGGTGGGTATAGTAGGGAGAGAGTAGTATGACTCGTAACTGGATTTGTATGGCATGGCTAATTTTAGTATGGGGAAAAAAAAAAAACAGAAACACATCCCGCATGAAACCCCACTGGACCCAATCCCGGGAGGGGTTTTTTACCCTGCCCGGGAAACTTTTTTCCCTGCCCAGAAATGCGTATCCTGGATCGGACCACTCTAGCGTTCAGCGTTCACACGCTAGCGTATATACGGAACGCGTATATACGCCAAACGCGTTTATGCCAACCTAGGCATAGAGGGCGAGCGACAACTACATGGTGCTGAAGGGCCACAAGAAAGGCATTGTCGATTTGCAGTGAAGGAAAATAGCACCCCTGTATTCCTTCTCTGTAAACCCTCTTCTCCCATCCCTCGTCTCTCACCAGTCCTGTGGCGCATACAGGGCGAGTGTGAGCGACAAGTACATGGTGCTCAAGGGTCACAAGAACGTCATTCTGGAGCTGCAGTGAAGGAGAATCGACCATTGTATTGTATATAAACCCTCTCTTACCATCATTTCCCCAATCCTCCCCTTCCATCGTCAGTCCTGTGGCGCATAGAAGGCGAGTGCGACAACTACATGGTGCTCAAGGGCCACAAGAACGTGATTCTCGAGCTGCAGTGGACGTCGGACGGCCACAGCATCGTGTCTGCCAGCCCTGATCAGACCGTGCGCGCATGGGACGTGGAGACGGGGAAACAGGTGAGAGGCGGAGGGGGGTGAGTTGCATGGATTCAAGGTGCTGTGCGGTAGCTGCAGTGGGCGTCAGATGGCCACAGCATCGTGTCTGCCAGTCCTGATCAGACCGTGTGAGCGTGGGATGTGGAGACTGGGAAGCAGGTAAGAGCGTGTGGGCAGGGGAGGGGTTGTGTGGGTGTGGATTGGGGAGATGCGGAAGCAGGTGAGAGGTGGACGGGTGAGTTGCATGGATTGAGTGCTCGAGCTGCAGTGGGCCTTGGATGGCCCCAGCATCGTGTCTGCCAGCCCTGTCCAGACCGTGCGCGCATTTGATGTGGAGGAGACTGGGAAGCAGGTGAGAGCGTGCGCACATGGGATGTGGAGACTGGCAAGCAGGTGAGAGGTGACAGACACCCTCCTGTTTCCTCTTCCTCTTGCGACCCGAACCGAACCCCATATGAAGAAGTCTCAAACCAGAAGTAGCTTGCTTTGCTCACATCACAGCATCCCCCCTTGGCCTTTGGGTGCTGCCACTGATCGAGAAAGAAGATGGCGGAGCGTTCGTCGTTTGTAAACAGCTGCTCCTCGGTGCCAAAGGCTCCTCAATTACAAGTGTCTCTTTCATCCCAACGCCCCTTCTCTCCGCCCTCTCCCTTCTCCTCTTTTCTCCTCCTTTCCCGGTAACAGATAAAGAAATGGCGGAGCATTCGTCGTTTGTCAACAGCTGCTGCCTTTCTCTGCCTCTCCGTGACTCTCTCGTCTTCCTTCCCCCACCCCTGGCCCGCCTCCCGCAACAGATAAAGAAGATGGCGGAGCATTCGTCGTTCGTCAACAGCTGCTGCCCCGCGCCCAGAGGCCCGCCGCTGATAGTCAGCGGCAGCGACGACGGCACGGCCAAGCTGTGGGACATGCGCGTCAGAGGGTGCATCCAGACATTTCCAGACAAGTACCAGGTGGGTGGGTGAGCTGTAATCAAGTACCAGGTGGGTGGGTGAGCTGTAATCAAGTACCAGGTGGGTGATAAATTGCGATGCATGCGTTGGCGCGTGTATGCATGTGTGATTGCACGTGACGTGTCTCTTTCCTTGCATGCATGCGTGGCAGGGCATCTGTGTTTGATGTGAGGTGCCTCTGTGTAACCAGTCTGACTGCACACGTCGCAACCAAAAATCACTCCCTTCCTCCATCCCGCAGGTCACAGCAGTGGCATTCTCTTATAACGGGGACAAAGTGTACTCGGGCGGAATCGACAACCAAATAAAGGTCTGGGACCTTCGAAAATCAGGCGGCACATCAACAGCAGCAGGGGCGGGGGGAGAGGACGCAGCAGAGGGCGGAAGCGGAGAGACTGGGGGCGGGGGGGGCAAGGGAGCGGAGCCGGTGATGAGGCTGGTGGGGCACACGGATACGATCACGGGCATGAGGGTCAGCCCTGATGGGGCGTATCTGCTCACCAACGCCATGGACTGCACCCTGCGCATCTGGGACCTCCGGCCCTACGCCCCGCAGGTGTGTTGTGTGCTGTTCGCATCATACCCAACCATACACCCTGTAGATCCCGTTCATGATAAAAAGATTGTTTTATACATCTTATCAAGTGGTTTTTGAGACGTCTCAAAAAACAGTTTTTTATCGTACCCAACCATACACCCTGTGAATGGCGTTCGTTCTCACTTCACTCACCTGTCCGCTCACCAATGCCATGGGATGCATCATGCATGCACGCCATGGGATGCATCATGCATGCACGCCATGCATCTGGGACCTCCGGATGCGTTTTGGTGTGCTCTCTGTATCATGAGGTCCCAGTTCAGCCTTCAGGCGTACGCCTTGCAGGTGCGTTCCTGTGCGCTTCTCAAACCATGCACCCCCCGAGTGGTGCCGTGCGGGCTTCTCTCTAACTGCAACAAATGGCATGGTGAAGTTCCGGCGAATAATATTAACAAGTACTTCTTACTTCTTACTTGGGCATCTTACTCCTTTTCCTCGCCCTCCTCTTGAGCGTCTCTGCCGTTCATTCCCTCCACTTCTCAGATTGGATACCTCATTCCCACCTCCACCCCTTTGCGACGCATCCACCATACTAACACCCCTGTGCTTCCCTCCTCCCCGTTCTCCACATACGAACCCTCCCATGCCCCGCCTTCCGCCTTCCGCCCCCACTCTGCTGCCCCCGCTCCTCTCCCTCCGCTCCTCTCCCTCCACTCCTCTCCCTCCGCTCCTCTCCCTCCGCTCCTCTCCCTCCGCTCCTCTCCCTCCGCTCCTCTCCCTCCGCCCCTCTTCTTCCGGCCCCCTCCCTCCGCCTGTCGCCCTCCGCCCGTCGCCCTCCTCCCCCTTTCTCCACACCAACCCTCCCGCCCCTCTGCACAGTGGGCACCAGCACAGCGGGGAGGAGATCCCTGAGGCACAGCACAGCTCAAATGCGAGTGGCCTGAGGCCCCTTTAACTACTAGCCGCTCAGCCTCTCTACTCCACATGCGTCATACTATCCCTGCCCGTTGCGCAGAACCGGTGTGTGATGATCTTCACAGGCCACCAGCAGAGCGTGGAGACGAACTGGCTCAAATGCGATTGGTGTGAGGCCCTTACAAGCACTTCCCCCTCATCCTCTCCACTCCACATGCGCTGTGCTAACCCCCCCTGTTCTCCTCCCCCACCCTCCCCATTGCGCAGAACCGGTGTGTGAAGATCTTCACAGACCACCAGCACAGCGTGGAGAAGAATCTGCTCAAATGTGATTCGTGTTTAGCCCCTACAAGCACTCGCCGCTCAGCCCCTCCACATGTGCCGTACTAACCCCCCTTTTTCTCCCCGAAACCACCCGTCCCCATCACCCAGAATCGTTGTGTGAAGATATTCACAGGGCACCAGCACAGCGTGGAGAAGAACCTGCTGAAGTGCGATTGGTCGCCGGACGGCTCCCGCGTGACAGCTGGCAGCGCCGACCGCATGGTGTATGTGTGGGACACGACGATGCGGCGGATTCTTTACAAGGTACGTATGGGGTTGATTATACAGGGTACAGCGGTGGGCGGGTGTCAAAAGGGATGGCATTAATCAGCACGAGATGCATGCTAATCGCATGGTGTATGTGTGGGACACCACAATGCGGCGAATTCTTTACAAGGTACGTATGGGGTTGATTATACAGGGTACAGCAGTGGGTGGGTGTTAAAAGGGATGGCATTAATCAGCACGAGATGCATGCTAATCGCATGGTGTATGTGTGGGACACCACGATGCTGCGGATTCTTTACAAGGTATAGAGGTTATTTGTGAGCGCAGGGTGCAGGGTGCAGGGAGGGACATGGTAACCGCATGGTGTATGTTTGGGACAGGACAATGCGGCGGATTCTTTACACGTATGGGGTACAAATTGTGCAGGGAGGGGCATGGTAACTGCATGGTGTATGTGTGGGATACCACCATGCACCTGACTCGTTACAAGGTACAGGGTTGTTTGTTTGATCATGTAGGATGCTGACCTTTGATCATGTAAGACGCTGACCTTTGATGCAACGTTCATCTTCATTGCATCGCGTTTGTTTGAGGCACCGCCATTAGCCAAGTCTGGTGCAAGGTATTCCTCTGAGGCTGCTTTTGAGTCGACTCAAAACCATTGGCCAAGTCTGGTGCAAGGTACACCTCTGAGGCTGCTTTTGAGTCGACTCAAAACCATTGGCCAAGTCTGGCGCAAGGTATACCTCTGAGGCTGCTTTTGAGTCGAGTCAAAACCATTGGCCAAGTCTGGTGCAAGGTATACCTCTGAGGCTGTGTTTGAGCTAAGTTGCCAAATACGCTCAACCCCTTCAGCGTATAGCGTATGTACGCTAGCGTTTGTACGCTATGCGCTATACACCCGCGAATACGCTATACGCTTCCAAAAAAAATTCCGGGCTGCCCGAAAATAAAATCGCGAAATAGTTGCGGATTTTCTAGGTGAGCATTTCGCCGAAGTCAAATTGAAAATCCGTGGTCTAGGTTAGTCGGGATCTGCCTTCGAAGTTGTGAGGCACATTTGGCAAATGTCGAATTTCAGATCTACACATTGATTGAAACCCCTCATCTACCGCATTCAAACCCATCCCAACCCTTTTACAAACTCCAACCTGTCAAAATCGACCCCTCAACTAACCTTTCGTGCTTCACCACACAACCAAGCTGCTAATTCGTCATTTCCCACGATTCATTCCCGCTTCCAACATAGTTCCTCCCGCCCACTCCTACTTCTCTAGCTGAAACGTCTACCCCACTTCCCGCCCCACTCGCCGTTCGGACTCAGAATAATGCTGCTAGGGCACGTCATAGTGAGAATAGGGAGTACTTTTTTTCCCACCCTGCCCGGAAAGTTTTTTCCCTGCCCGAAAAAGCGTATGTCCACATCGACCCCCTACGCGGATAGCGTACATACGCTAGCGTATATACGATACGCGTATATACGCGATAAGCGTATTTGGCAACTTAGTTTCTGAGTCGACTCAAAACCATTGGCCAAGTCTGGTGCAAGGTATACCTCTGAGGCTGCTTTTGAGTCGACTCAAAACCATTGGCCAAGTCTGGTGCAAGGTATACCTCTGAGGCTGCTTTTTAGTCGACTCAAAACCATTGGCCAAGTCTGGTGCAAGGTATACCTCTGAGGCTGCTTTTGAGTTAACTCAAAACCATTGGCCAAGTCTGGTACAAGGTATACCGCTGAGACGCCTCACAAGGTATAGTAGGGTTAATCATGGAGGCAACAGGGTTGTGCTAAGACGGATGGCCCCCTGTGGGAAGTAGATTCTGATTGCATGGTATGGGGGGGATTGCATGGTATGGGGGGGATTGCATGGTATGGGGGGGATTGCATGGTATGGGGGGGATTGCATGGTATGGGGGGGATTGCATGGTATGGGGGGGATTGCATGGTATGGGGGGGATTGCATGGTATGGGGGGGATTGCATGGTATGAGGGGGATTGCATGGTATGGGGGGGATGGCATGGCATGGGAGGTTCAACTGTGCCTGATGTGTTTTGAGTCAACTCAAACGCCTTGTGCTATGATGGATGGCCGTTTGTACAGAGCACATGCTGATTGCATGGTATGGGGGGTTCAGCTGTGCCTGATCCCAATCCCCTACCCCATCTCCATATCTCTCCCATCGCCCTCCTCACGTGATGCTGCTGCAGTTGCCGGGTCACAACGGATCAGTGAACGAGGCAGTGTTCCATCCCTCACAGCCCATCATCGGCTCCTGCTCCTCTGACAAGCGCATCTATCTGGGCGAGCTTGATCCTTCCCTCAAGTGAACCTGATGCTTGGGTTGGTTTTTTTTACATGTACGGTAGTTGTTATTTTTTCCCTTATGCTCATGCAGTCTTATTTACTTAAATCCATTTCCTGTACTAGGTTTGAATTTCATGTCAGACAGAGGTAACCACATGCAATAGCTTAGGGAAGCACTGCCACAAATGGGAGAGGTTGTTGAAGTGCTGCAAACATTAACACATGAGTCTCTAAAAGTTTAACTGGAGCGAAAGCAATTCTGCTCAGGCAGGTGCCCAGCAGGGGTTTTTTTATCAGTGTAATTTACTCTGTTTCTCTGAAAATCAGAGTGGTTTTTGGGGGGTCACTCTGTACCTCCTGGGTAAATTTTTTTAGAGTTACTTGTTCTCTGATCAGTCAGGGTTTTTGTCTAAGTTCACTCTAGAGTGCCTGTGTTACTTTCCCGGATAGTGAGATTACTCTGTACAGGGGATACATGTACCCCCGAACCCCCACGTTCCCCCTTATCCCCTCGTTGCCGGTTTTGACCGGAGCGCAGGGGATAGTATCAGCCTTGGTTCGCTCGTGTGGTGGCACTACCTGAGGTTCTGATTGGCCGGTATGGCATATTTCGTGCCAGCGCACGCATTTGGCCACCCACCAGATACATCGCTGGCTTTGCGTACCCCGTCAGCAATGAACAACTCCTACTTTCGGGCATGATACGGCAGCTTCCTTTGGTGCGATGGTTTCGTGCGCGGCCCGCACGATCACACATGTTGCTCGGCTGACAGACGGGGTCACCGCCAAACCCCATCCTGTCCTCCCATTCTGTTTCTTCCCACTGCACTACTCTTCAACGTTTCAGTATAGCGAGTGTGTAGTGGGCTTCTCCAGCCACAGCCCCTCCTCCTGCACCTTTTTTGTGCCGTCATTACCATGGATACTAGCGACGCTGATGGAGACGCGGCTGATCCCGACGACAGGCCGACATGTAGCACACCCCCTGCGACTAGGCTTCAGTTCCTACGCTCTGTGCGTGAGGATTACGTTCGCGATGAAGAGGCGCTGGGCGATGGCGGTACCGAATGGATGCGACGTACACGCAACGAATCTGGCGACATGGTAGATGCGAACGACGATTGGTGTCAATCTCCGCGCCCGATGAATGACGCTGCTGAGTCAGACGGTGTTGAGGAGTGGATCGCCTCGCCGCGAAACGAGGTTGCTGCAGAGCCAGCTGCAACGGTTGCAACGGAGCTTGTCGATGCGGCCACTACTGAGTCGACTGGTTCAGTCGCTGCAAAGAAGCGACGATTAACGCAGCAGGTTTTACAGTGGGGAACACCGCCGCCGAAGCCTGTCGCTCCACCTCCCCGTCCTACCCCACCCCCCATTCGTCCCCTTTCAGACGAGGAGAAGAAGGAGAAGGCCTACCTGAAGGCGCAGAAGAGCTACACGTCTGATTGGCTACCGAAGTTTGACTGGCTGATTCTGGACAGGACCCCTGAGGGTGACCCGTGTCTGCGCTGCAGTGTCTGCACCGAGCACGGGAAGGACAACGCGCGTTACGGTCGCAATGGCGCTGGCGGTCGTGATCTGCAGATCGGGTCGATGCGGTGGCACGAGAACAGCGCGAAGCACGAGGACGCAATGAACAAGCAGGCGAACCTTCTGCAGAAAATAGCCGACCAGAAGAAAATTGAAGACTTCGCGAAGGGAGATCCAGAAGCCTGTCGTGTCGCGGTACTAATGCGAGCCATGCGATTTGTGTGCCGTACCGATACACCCATCCACATGTACCCACAGATCGTGCAGCTTCTCGCAGAGGAGGGGGTCGCCAACATACCGCGACAGAGCTATGGAGTGTACATCACACAGTGAGTCGTTGTCTCTGTTGTTCTTGAAGCAGCCGGTTATGTTTATGTATGCTAATGCGTTGTGCTATATGTCTGCGCAGGTACGGTTTCTCCGAGATGGCCAAGGCTCTCACCGTGTATCTGACCAGAGAACAATTGCGCCACCTCCACGCCTCGCCCTTCATCGGCATCATGTGCGACGAGAGTACCGATCGAGCCCGTGGCAAACACATGATTGTGTTTGTCACGTTCCTCAAGAACAGTTTGGTTGTAACCGAGTTCCTCGTGTTACTTACCGTACAGCAGTGTGATGCGGCATCGCTCATGAACGCACTGCTCCAGCATCTCGAGACGGTGGGCATCGACTTGCAGAAGATTTCAGGAATGTCCACGGACGGCGCGGCAGTGATGATCGGGGGCACGTCTGGCCTCGTCACACGACTGCGAGTCCACGTTCCCCACCTTGTCGGCTGCCACTGCATTGCGCATCGGTACGTGTGTTTTGCCTGCGAAATAGAGTGTCTGGTTAAACGTTATTTTGTGTTTCCAACTTATTCATGAAACGATCTTATTCATTGTTTTTAAGTTTTGCGTGCAGTGAAGCACTTGCTGTGAAGGAGACTGCCGGTGACGAGCGGTTCAAAGACTTTGGGATGGTAGACAAGGCCATCCGTGCAGTTGGCGAGATCGTGGGGAGATCCACCCCATGGTACGAGAGGTTCAAAGAGCTCCAACTCGTGATCCACAGCACCAACCTCGAGCATCAGGGACTGTTCGACGTGCGCTGGCTCTCCCGTGCTGACGCTGTCAACCGTCTTGTCAAAATTCTGGGGTCGGCAATCGTGCTTTTCCTGGAGTACAATCACAAGATCGCCGAGGTTGTGAAGACCCTGAAATTTCATTTTTGTCTGTACTTCCTGGCAGACATTTTGGGGGAGTTAAACTCCCTGAATCGTTTCTTCCAACGACGCAAGGTAAATGAGGCCTAAAAGGCTTGTTGATACACACGTTTAACCGTGTTCATTATTATTTTTAACGCAGAGACTAACAAAAAAAATTACCCCGTGTCGACCCGGCAGGTGGAGGTGACGCAAGTCACAGAGGAGGTCGACCGTGTGGTCTCCCTCATCGAGCACCGCTACATCGACTACGAGGGTGCTTTCGGGGCGGGTCTGAGCACCCACTTGTCTCCATTCATGGCACGTCTCAAGAACGGGGACAACAAGGTGAAGGTGGACGGTGTGGACGCTAGCGGCCGACCCGTTAGGCACACCTTCGAGCTCAGCGAGTTGCCGGACAAAAAGCACAAGTTCGGCGGGTCCCTGGCAGATTACGTGAAGATGGGCAAGGCGTTCGCCCGTGAGGTAGTGTACAACCTGAAGCACCGCATGCGAGATCTTCGTCGAATGGGCGGCATGAAACTGTTCAGGGTGGACAAGTGGCCATCGAATCCGGACACGCGTGCGAGACGATGTGCCACATGGCTCCGTGAGAACTCACAACTCTTCAGCCACCAGCTGCCAGGTATTTGGACATCAAATTTCGATATTTTTTGTTTTTTTTTTCCTAAAAATGCCTGTCGTAAATGTCTAACGAAAGTTCCCGTTCAAAGAAATGCCTCTGCTGTTCGTACTGTGTTGGCAGGATTCGACCTGCGGGCAGCCGAACTAGAACTGAAAACTTTCTGCCACATCATGAAGACGCACCACAACGTGGAGTGGCCAGATGTCGTTGAGCATCCACATGCTCGACTACAACGTGGAGTGGCCAGATGTCGTGGACATCTGGCGCAAGCACAAGAAGAGGCGGCCGACAAAATCCCCAGCACCCTTCCAACCAGCGGCTGACAGGAAGAAGCCTGAGTCCAGTGCGGACGACAAGGAAGAGGCTGACGTGGCAGAGTTTGATTGAGCTGTAGTAGTAGGATAGGATAGGACATTGTGTACATCGTGTCTAAGAATTATACTTGTAACATTTTTAACTATGCAACAGCACAAAAACAAACGCGTACACACACAACAGGGTAAACGAAAAAAGTACTCTGAGGTGCCAGGGTTTTTAAACGGAAAGCCTGTGTTACACTGACATTTAAGAGGAAGGCTCGCCAAACACTCTGAATTTCAAAGTACAGCCAAAAACGCCTCTGGAAACCAGTGTACTCTAAAACGAAAAAAAACCCCTGGTGCCCAGCATCTGTCATTTCAAGTAACTGACAGTGCTGCCAAGGTTGCTCACATTAGTCACAGAACTACAAGCACATGTTGTTGGAATTAATGTTAATTCGGGTTGCTCTAATTAACATATGTAGTGGCAGATTTACATTGTAGTAGTGTAGAATACATTGGTTGGGTTTGGAGAACTTGTGGTGTACACTCTTTAGAGTGGACCATCTCTCAAACCACATATGTTAGGGTTCTCTCTTGTTGTAACTTCACTCTTTTGAAATCATTTTGGTTCTAGCATGGTTTATGCATAAGTGGGCTCCTAAGATTCCAATGCTTCAAGAGGAGGTTCTAAGACTACTAAAGCTTCCGCTAGTAGCTTAGTCCATTCTAACATGGTATCAGAGTTAGGAAGGCCTAGCAATCCGTTGGAATAGGAGTTACTCAAGAAATTTGATCATAAAACCTTGGTGGAAGCTAAATAGCTCCCATCCCTCCCGAAGGGCTGCCAAAATTGTACCGTGTGTCAGAATGCCAGTCACTAGACCACTGGGATAAAAGGGCTTGTTAAGTAGCGGGTCAGTGCGCCCATAACCCCCCAGGCCAACATGCCTGTAACACTTCCCTAGGATCAATCGGGGATCACCAGTGGACCTCTAACACCCCCCCGCACTGGGATGCCCGAAGTGCACACACTGGGATTCGAACCCGAGACCTTCGCTCTGATACCATGTCAGAATCCCAGTCACTAGACCACTGGGATAAAAGGGCTTGTTAAGTAGCGGGTCAGTGCGCCCATAACCCCCCAGGCCAACATGCCTGTAACCCTTCCCTAGGATCAATCGGGGATCACCAGTGGACCTCTAACACCGTGGCGGACTCTTGACGTGGGAGGGGAGGAGGAGAGAAGAAAACTGCTATAAATTGTGTGGATCCGTTCGGGAGGACGAGAAGAGCGACATCCATTCACGGAGGCGCTCAGTCAACTTTGGCCGATCAAAACGTGCAGCGCACCGTTGGAAA